GGAAGGGGGTCGGGGGATGCAGGTGAGGGGGGCACCAGAGGGCACTATAGTGTTAGGAATGCAACTTTGAATTCCTTACACTATAGAATTCAGAGCCTAGACCCAAAAAGCTCTAATAAATGTAACTTTCCATTACTCACCCTGCACTGATTTATTAATTCACAGTTTCATAGTATTGCACTATTATATGTTTTTCTTGTGCACTTTTAAATTCATACATCTTTGATACCCCAAACAACCTAAGGGGTAAGTGTGATTTAAATTAACGCTTCACTAATTTTCTCTGCTTTTTTGGTAGGTTTGGTCAACAGTGAATTGTATTTTTGGTATATTTTTATACTGTGAATTTCCGGTGAGTGTCCACGTACTGTCACACCTGCTATTTATTTAAAGTGTTACTTCATCATTTTTTAAGCGCCGCGCTTTCACAATTTTAGTATATTTTTTTTCCACTCCTAGAAATAACTTTTGTCCTTGTAACTTATTCTTTATTGAGTTTTCAGTTTTAACAGTAGTTCAATAAAAAAGACAAAAAAAGATTAAATCAACACTCCGGGCTCCATAAAGATTTCGATAACGTTTTTATGATGCCTGCCTTCTTCCTTTAAGAAGAGACATCACAAAACTACACCCGGGGTAAAAATGGAAGGGTAAACATTAATCATGATAAATGCTTAAGTGGCGCTAACCTCTGTTTAAAATGGATTTTATTTTCTTACACAGAATATTCTGAATCTTTCTGAAGGATTGCAAGAAAAAAGGTATATTCACAAATCACGTGCACTATTATACTTATCTTTTATTTGTGTATTAAGAAAATATATCAAAAACAACATTTTACTGGTAACTTCAGAAGGCCAAAACCTGCAATATTAATGACATCTTTGAGGATAAGTAGTGTCAGCTTTATAAAAAAAAAATCTCATAGATGCCCATTAGCCTCCAGGCCATTATTAATTTATTTTTACTATGACAACCTAGCAGTATTGATTTATAAAAGGTAAATATAAAATGTGCTGTGATGCTGTAATTATTGTTTGCTTTTATATTACCTTTGATGCCATCATAAAAAAATATTTTTTTATTCTGTGACGATCAACTAATATAGTCAGATGATCTTGTAGCTAGCCAATGGCAATCAATAAGTTATATCATTTAACCTTTTCAATGCCTTAACAAAGTGCAACCATATGGGATTGTGGGGAAAAAAAGCTTTTATTTTTTTTGTATGTACATATCACAATCTGCTGACCAACTAATGCAAACTGCATAGCTCTATGTATAATTCTCATGGGGAAAAAAATCTATTAATTTATTGCAGGGGGATCGTTTGAAAACCACCAGGCTTAATTGATTGCTTTGTGTCTTTGATAAATTGTTGTAGGTTAAGCACACATTTCTGTGAGTTTTTAACATAATGGAAGAGAGTAACTGTGCAAGATTATAAAACAAGCACTAAAATGTGCAATAAAGCACTGAAATATAGCTGCATTAACCCCTTAAGGACACATGATGGAAATATTCTGTCGTGATTCTCTTTTATTCCAGACGTTGTGTCCTTAAGGGGTTAAAACTTTCCTTACATGGTACATTAAATGAAAATATTGTACATTGCTATTGTAATAACCCTGTAATTGTAACGACCAGGTCTTAATAAATGTCCAGAAAATATACTTCACATGATTTTTCGTTTTTTTTTCAAATCTATGTTTAAATAATAAGGATATAAAGTTGAACTTGTGTGAAGACAAGCACAGAGTGTACATAGTGCACACAGTGTAATATTGTTTTGATCATATATACTTTATTAAACTATTAATCCTACGTACCCTTGCGTTTAGTCAAATAAAGACACATACATCACCACAAATTGGTTGATAAAGCTTGTGCTTTTTCCTTTAGTATCTGCCTTGAACAAATCGTTTTCACCTCTGTGCTGTTCTGCAGTCTTCCAATAAAAACACTTAGCTGAACATGTTTTGTTCTTTTATAGATCTTTGTCAATATTATCTAACCTTATCACAACCTGTGATAAAATTAGATGCTATTTACAAAGCTCTGTGCTTATCTTCACACATGCTCTATTTTTATTTTTTGAATTCTTTATTTTTGTTAAGAAGTAACATAACGAAGTGGTACAGTCATAGGCGTGCGCATGGGGTGTGCCTAGGCACACCCTAATCCCTGTGGCCCGTGCTATGTGCCTCCCTGGGCCGGTGGCCAACAGGCAGGGAGGGAGGCAGGAGAGGACCCGGGGAGCTCTAGCCAGCAGCTCCGCTGGGTTCCTCTCGTGAGGTCGAAGCGTTGCTGCGGCAATGCTCAGATCTTGCGAGAGTGAACTATAGCCCCGCAAGATAGAGTTCACTCACCACTGGACCACCAGGGATGGCAGCAGCACGGTCCCCCCTCCCTACAAAAGGTAAGAAGGGAGGGGGGCTATTTCCTAAACGGTCCCCTCACCCCCACACAATACACACAAACAGTACCCACAAACACACGGCACCCTTACACAGCACATACACACTAACAGCACCCCCACTCATACATCACCCACACAGATACATCATACTTACACACACAGCACCCTTACACATACACACACAGCACACACACACACTAACAGCACCCTCACACATACACCTCACTTACACACACAGCACCCTCACACACAGCACCCTCACACACACACACACACAGCACCCTTACACACACAGCACTCTCACACAGACAGCACCCTCACACACAGCACCCTCACACACACAGCACCCTTACACACACACACACACACACACACACCACCCTCACAAACACACACACAGCACCCTTACACACACAGCACCCTCACACACACACACCCACACACAGCACCCTTACACACACAGCACTCTCACACACACAGCACCCTCACACACACACACATACAGTGCCCTCACACACACTAACAGCACCCTCACAGACACACAGCACCCTTACACACACACATACCACCCCCACAAACACACACACACACACAGCACCCTCACACACAGCACCATTACACACAGCACCCTTAAACATACATACACACACACACAGCACCCTCACACACAGCACCCTTACACATACACACACACTAACAGCACCCTCACACAAACACAGCACCCTTACACACACACACCACCCTCACAAACACACACACACAGCACCCTCACACACACAGCACCCTTACACTCACAGAGCACCCTCACACACACCGCCCTCACACACACACCGCCCACACACACAGCGCTCACACACACAGCACCCACACACAGCAGTGTATGTGTGTGTGTGTATGTATGTGTAAATATATATATATATATATATATATATATATAAAATACAGAAATTCCTTGCACTCACGCTTGATGTAGTCCAATGTGCCTTATTAGGCTTGCCGGGTGCCAGTCTTTAGGGATATTAGGTGTAGTAAACGAAGAAAAGCAGGCTGCACTCACGGACTTATGAATTCAAAATGTGGTATTTATTCCATCAAAGAATAGAGAACAATCAACGTTTCGGTCCACACAGGGACCTTCCTCAGGATCAAATAGTGGCACTATATGCAGCTGGTGTGGGCATATGTCATTTATCCCATCTGTTGAGTGCGTAGTGTACTTCTTGGGAACCGAGTGGCTGTCCACTGTCCGTGAGGGATCCACACATGCTCTATTTTAAATGCCTTACTTTTATGTTACCTTGGAGTATAGATCTAAAAACAGAATATAAATCTGAGATATATTCTGGATATTCAAAAAGATTTGGAAACTGGAGACTATGGAGCTTATTCCCCTTAAAGTGGCACTGTCACTTTTTTGTTTTTAAAGTAATCCTTTTTTGGTCCCTCTATTTCCTTTTATTTTAGTTTTATTCAAATTCGCCTTTGTTTTGTTTTTTAGCTATACAAAAGATAAAGTAGGGATTGTGTTTTCTCGTGTAGTGTGTGATCTTTGGAAATGTGCTGTGCATAAATGGACACTATAGTCACCAGAACCACTACACACAGCTTAATGTAGTTGTACTGGTGTCTACAGTATGTCCCTGCACTCTTTTCAATGTAAACACTTCAGAAAAAAGGCAGTGTTTACATTGTTGCCTAGTAACACCTCTAATGGCAGTCACTCAGATGGACACTAAAGTGCTTCCTATTTTAGTGCTGCACTGTGTGAAGCACCTACATTCTGCTGAATGCTCCTCATAGAGATGCATTGATTTAATGCATCTCTATGAAAGGATGCTGATTGACACAGCGCTTGTGCAATAGCCTATTGGTTTGGCTGAGATTGTCAAGATTGATGATCTCAGCCATGGAGGCAGAGCCAGCCACTCCGAGACGGCGTAGTGATGGAGAAAAGGTAAGTAAAATACCTTTTAGCTCCATTCTAAAGGGGGACGGGGACCTAAATATTTATTCGAGCACTCTAGTGTTTCTTTAGCAAAGTTTAATTTCAGTTACCAAGGTGACATCCAAAATCCATCAGTCAAAATAATCCTACTGAAGGGCAAACTGCAGACATCATGGAAAGAGGGGAAAGAAATGTCTATGTCCAGATATTGAGTTTCAAATAATATATAAATATAAATAAAGGCAAAGGTTGGAGTATAATATTAAGACACAAGGGGCATAAGGAAAGGAAGATTGAATGAAAAAAAACAGTGCCACTTTAAACAGTGCCGCTTTAATTGGGGTTCCGCAACGATTTGCCCATCAGGTGGCCTAATCACTTAGAGCCACCCGATGGGTATCGCTAAACAAGGGACCGGTCAGGTGCCGCGGCTGTTTAAGACTGTGACCGGGCCCCTGTAATATGGGATGCTGGGAGGAAGTAACAAACTGTCCCTTCCTCCCAGACAGAGAGCTCCGACTGGAGGGAGAGAGGGAGCAGTGGAGACTGATCAGCTGTCGACCTGGCACACCAGCCTCAGCCTGCAGCACTGAAAGAAGTCACACAGAAAAAAGGTAAACGAATAGGAGGGTGACTGTAAATATAAACGTGTGTGTGTGTGTATGAGTCTACGTATGTGTGTCTGTGTCAAGGTGTGTATGTGTCAGTGTCTATTTGTATGTCACTGTGTATCTGCCAGTTTGTGTACCTGTGTATCTGTGTGTCACTTTGTGTATCTGTGTGCCAAGGTGTGTGTATGTGTCACTGTATGTATTTGTATGTCATTGTGTGTATTAGTCAGTGCAGTGTGTGTATGTGCCAGTGTGTATGTGTCAGTCTATATGTTAGTGTGTGTGTGTGTGTGTGTCTGTGTGTTTCATTGTGCCAGTGTAGATGTGTGTGTAGTTGCCAGTTTGTGTACCTGTGTGCCAAGGTGTGTCTATATGTCACTATGTGTATCTGTGTGTCAGTGTATCTGTCAGTGAGTGTGTGTGTGTGTGTGTGTCAGTGTGTGTATCTGTGTGCCAGTGTGTGCCTGTGCCAGTGTGTCTGCCAAGGTGTGTCTATATGACACTATGTGTATCTGTGTGTCAGTGTATCTGTCAGTGAGTGTGTGTGTGTGTCAGTGTGTGTATATGTGTGCCAGTGTGTGTGTATCTGTGTGTGTGTCTGTATGTCAGTGTGTGTATCTGTGTGCCAGTGTGTATCTGTCAGTATGTGTATCTGTGTGTATGTGCCAGTTTGTGTATCTGTGTGCCTGTGTGTCTATGTGTCAGTGTTAGTGTATGTGCCAATGTGTGTGTGTATCTGTGTGTGTCTGTGCCAGTGTGTGTATCTGTTTGTCAAGGTGTATGTGTATGTGTGTCAGTGTGTATCTACCAGTGTGTATTTGTGTGTGTATGTGCCAGTGTGTATCTTTGTGCCAGTGGGTGTATATCTGTGTTTTTTTATGTGTATATGTGTGTCAGTGTGTATCTGCCAGTGTGTGAACCTGTGTGTGTATGTGTCACTGTTTGTATCTGTGTGTCAGTGTATTTGTCAGTGTGTATCTGTGAGTGTATGTGTCAGTGTGTATCTTTGTGTCAGTGGGTGAGTATCTGTTTGTGTATGTGCAAGTGTGTATCTTTGTGCCAGTGGGTGTGTATCTGTGTGTGTATGTACCAATGTGTACCAATGTGTATCTTTGTGTCAGTGGGTGTGTATCTGCGTGTGTATCTTTGTGCCAGTTGGTGTGTATCGGTGTGTACCTGTGTTTGTATGTTCCAGTGTGTGTATCTGTGTGTCAGGGTGTATGTATCTTTGTCAGTGTGTGTGTGTGTGTACGTGTCGATGTGTTTCTGTTTGTTAATGTGTATGTATATCTGTGTAAGTATGTATGTGGCAGTGCATGTGCAGACATCCCAGCAATCGAACACAACAGACACTCCTGCAAACACAAACATGACATACAAAGGCACCCCTGAATTCTAACTCTAAAATGATATACAAACACTCAAACACCAGTACTACACAAAAATGTACATTGCATATAAGATCCAAAACTAAATCCAAACACACCTGTGCATGCAAGCATAACATATAAACATTGCATTAGAAGAATAAACTGCGAGCAGTAGGTGCCTTGGCGCTTCACAAATCTCTTATAATAGAAATGTGTCAGTTTAGGTTTGTCCCCAACACCTTATAAAGTGCAAATGACAAATAAAACTTAACAAAAAAATATTACACACTTCACCCTGTGGATACACAACAATACTATCTCAATAACCTCTTAAGGTCCTTTCTACTTACCCGGTCACCGGCGATCCCACACCGCTGATCGCGGTGTGGGGACTCACCTGGCATCCCCTGCTTCCATTCAGGTCCCCTGGGCCATGTGATCTCGAGGTCCTTGCAAGGACCTCACGATCACATGGACGGCATAGCTGTCCATAGCAATGCCAGCAGGGGGACTGCCTCAAGTGACAGGTAGTGATGTCCCGAACGGTTAGCCGAACGGTTCGCCGCGGACGTCGAACATAAACATAACCTTTGACCCTGTACCTCACAGTCAGCAGACACATTCCAGCCAATCAGCAGCAGACCCTCCCTCCCAGACCCTCCCACCTCCTGGACAGCATCCATTTTACATTCATTGTGAAGCTGCATTATTAGTGAGCTGTCCAGGAGATGGGAGGGTCTGGGAGGGAGGGTCTGCTGCTGATTGGTTGGAATGTGTCTGCTGACTGTGAGGTACAGGGTCAAAGTTTATGTTTATGTTCGCCGTCCGTGGCGAACCGTTCGGCGAACTGTTCGGGACATCACTAATGGCAGGTACTCCCCCTGCTGCCTGTTAAAAAAATAATAAAAGTTTAATACAGTGTAAAATACAATTATATATATTTAGATCATATATATATATTCTATATATTATCTAATTATATATATATATTAATATCAAAGTACACATATAGAATGCTATTGATTATATATATATAATTCTAATTATATATATTTGTATATAATATAAAATAAATAAATATGTAAATACATTATAAAATAAAATTAAAAAATAAATAAAAAATAAATAAAATATATGTATATATGTGTAATTTCGTTCTCTCTCTATTTTGATATTAATATATATATATATATAGAGAGAGAGAGAGAGAGATAGCAAAATACACGTAGAACTAAATAATATATATATATCTATATACATAAGTATATACGTATATATCACTATATATATACACCTATATATAAATAAAAACTATTAAAAAAATTATATATATGAATATAGATACACACCTATATATATATAATAATTCTACAAATATATTTATGTAATAATTTTACATAATTAGGTCATTTTATTAATTACAATTTGCGGGACCTGCCTGACAACCAAGGTCGAAAGTCCAGTAATTTAATTTACTAGCACTATACCTAACCCTGTAACTTTCCAAGACACCGTAAAACCTGTACATGAGGGGTACTGTTTTACTCTGAAGACTCCGCTGAACACAAATATTAGTGTTTTAAAAGAGTAAAATGTATTACAACGATGATATCGTCAGTGAAAGTGACATCTTTTGCATTTTTCACACACAAATGGCACTTACACTGCCGATATAATTTTGGTGATACATTTTACTGTTTTGAAACACTAATATTTATGTTCAGCGAAGTTTCCCGAGTATAACAGTACCCCTCATGTACAGGTTTTATGCTGTTTTCTAAAGTTACAGAGTCAAATATAAGGCTTGCGATTCAGTTTTTTTACATTGAAATTCGCCAGATTGATTTTTTTGCATTTTTCACACACAAAAAAAATATTAACACAAAATTTGGCCAGTGTTTGTGACCAAGTGGCTACTAAAAAAGACTGGACATACCCCATTTGCTATACCTTGGGTTGTCTACTATTGCAAATGGTATGCCATCAGGGGGGTAATTCTCATTCCCGGGCTACCATACGGTCTCAAAGGCAACGTAACCAGTCTAGCGAATTTCAGTGTGAAAAAACTGAAAAATGTAACATTCTATATTTGACCATGTAACTTCCCAAAACACCATAAAACCTGTACATAGGGGGTACTGTTTTACATATGAGACATCGCTGAATAAAAATATATGTATTTTATTGCAGGAAAAGGAAACAGTATTATGACATTCACAGTTAAAATGTCATGTAGAACTAAAAAAAAAAAATGTAATTCGTAATTCTTATTTTTTCCCATTTTTTTATATTTTTTTCATATTAAATTATGTTTCATACCTAAATATTTGATGTTAAATGAAAGCCCCGTTTCCCCTGAATAAAATATATAATAAGTGTGGGTGCAAATATCATGAAAGAAGTGAATTACGCCTGAACAGACATATAGTGCAAATTCAAGGTTTTGTTTACGTTTTGTTTTGATCCCAACGTGTACATTTGGCTCAGTCCTTAACCCCTTAAGACCGGAGGGCGTACTATTACGCCCTATTCTAAGCGGCTCTAAACGCCGCCAGGCGTAATAGTACGCCCTCCAGTCTTTCTATACTTACCTGGTCGCCGGCGATCCCACGCCGGCAATCACGGTTGGAGGGACTCCCAGGGAGCCCCCCGCGGCACGTCCAACCCCCTGGAAGCCCCCTGGCCATGTGAGAGTGAGGTCCTTGCGAGGACCTCACAATCACATGGCCGGGATAGCTGGCTTCTGTATTGCCAGCAGGGAGACTGCCTGTAATGACAGGTGGTCCCCCTGCTGGCTGAAAATAAATTAAAGTTAAATAAGTGTAAAAAAAAATAATATATACTTAGATCATATACATATATTATATATATATGATCTAAGTATATATATATACACATACATACACACACATACACTGTCTAGGTGTATTTTACTATTAATATATATATATAATTATATATATATATTAATATCAAATTACATGTAGACTGATACTGATTAAATATATATATAATTATTGTTATATATATATTTATATATAATATAAAAAAATAAATATGTAAATATGTTAAAAAATAAAATTAAAAAAATAATTACAAATAAATAATTAAAAAATATATAGATGTGTGTTATTTCATTCTAACTGTATTGTGAAATTAAAATATATATATATATATATCAAAATACACGTAGAACAAAATAATATATATATATCTATATACATAAATATATATGTATATATCACTATATATATATACCTATAAATAAATAAAAATATTTTAAAAAATGATATAGATATATACATATATATACACATACGTATATATATACATATATTAATTCTACATATATATTTATGTAATATTTTTACATAATTTGGTATTTTAATTAATTACAATTAGCGGGACCTGCCTGACAACCATGCCGAAAGTAAAGGGAATTTAATTTGCTAGCACTATATTTAACCTTATAACTTTCCAAGACACCATAAAACCTGTACATGGGGGGTACTGTTCTACTCGGGAGACTTCGCTGAACACAAATATTAGTGTTTCAAAATAGTAAAATGTATTACAACGATGATATCGCCAGTAAAAGTTAAGTTTTTTGCATTTTTCACGCACAAACAGCATTACACGGACAATATTATTGCTGTGATACTTTTTACTGTTTTGAAACACAAATATTTGTGTTCAGCGAAGTCTCCCGAGTACAACAGTACCCCTCATGTACAGGTTTTATGGTGTTTTCAAAAGTTACAGCGTCAAATATAAGGCTTGCGTTTCATTTTTTTCACATTAAAATTCGCCAGATTGGTTACGTTGCCTTTGAGACCCTATGGTAGCCCAAGAATGAAAATTATCCCTATGATGGCAAACCATTTGC